TTTTTTCTTCGATTTTATTATTATTACAACTATATAATTTATATGAATAATATCTTGTAGTAAAAGAAAATCTTTATTTTTTATAAACAGTTAGCCATTTTGCTTGTATATTAAAACTGAATTTTTGAATTAATTCTTGCCTTAAGGCAAAATGCCACTTGCACCACCGAGTTTTTTAATTATTTTGAACAATACAGAATTAATTAAATGAAGATTATAGTCGTCATACATTTTAATTATAGCATAATGCATAAATTTCTTTATATTAACTCATAAATCACACTTTAGTTCAAGTGGGTGATAAATAAGATCAAATTACTGTGTGTGAGTATGTATGTTTTTGTAGGTGTTTAACACAAAGTGTTTATCATATTTCATAATTGTAGAAACTTTTTGCTCCTGGTGCCAGTCACCAGGCTACATGCATGTAAAATTCCTGGCGATGTGTTCGTGAGAATATATTATAATGTATTATTTATGCTTATTCGTCTATTTTGGCAACGGAAGTAAAGTTGACGCCAACTGGAAATATAAGGCATAAAAAAAGTTTGTGATGTTTATATATCAACACGAAACTTTTTTAATCTTATAGGTGGAACCGGAACTAATGTAATAATTGTATTACCAAATGTGTAATAAAGGACCGAAGTTTGATACATTAAGCTCTTCGGGATCGATGGAATTTGGTAGGACGAAATTAATTAGGCTAAATTAATAAGTGAATAGTTTGGATAAAATCTATTGTTAAGGAGTTTTGGTACTACCAATCAAATCGTACGCTTACTACATAATAATTTTACTATTTTTGTATTAAAAATCAAATTTTTGTAAATAAAAATAAATCAATGACCCGACGTGATTTGAACACGCAACCTTCTGATCTGGAGTCAGACGCGCTACCGTTGCGCCACGGAGTCTTGTAAATTGAACGACTTAGTTTCGTATATATGTCTGCCGTGCATATCAATTTAACTTTCCACAAGTTTTTTTTCCAAAAAATCCGATTTGCAATTTTACGTTTTCTCGATGTTACAAACCATTCTGAATCGAATGAGACCAAATTTGGAAAAATTGTGTCTGGTTTTTGCTCTTCGTCGACGTTTTCTCACAAACTGCTGTAACCGATTTTACATGTTTAAATGTGTCAAGCCGTTTTTTTTTGTAATACAAAACGTATAAAAGTCTACAATTTTTCGTCTACATTGTATACAAAATTAGATATTGTGCTCTAATAAATCACTCATGTATAATATATTGATTTCTTATTGAGCAAGTCGCTTTTTTACACATGTTGGGATACCGATGCAACTCGTTTTAAGGCGACTAACATCTAGTCCATTAGTTTCATTAGTAAAATAATTCATAATATACCTGAGATATAATTGAATCAAATTGGAAATAAAAATAATAATAATATGTTATAGATTATCGTTAAAAAATATGAATCATCATTATCATTTTACAAATGCTTTATAATTTTAAGTACAGATGTTCGTTCGCCATTACTCTAGACCCGTATAAATGTACGAGTTCTCGCTCTCTTTCGTAGTCCCTGATAGCCGTGATCGTCTAGTGGTTAGGACCCCACGTTGTGGCCGTGGTAACCCAGGTTCGAATCCTGGTCACGGCAATGTCGCGAACATTGTCACGGCAGGGACAAATATTTTTATTTTTTTTCTCATTTTGTTCATATTTTCATTTCAAAATACTTCAATCTCTTTATAAGCTCATGATATTTTGTTTAATTACTGACAATTGACTTAGTTATGTTTAACAACGATATTTTTTGTAAAAAGATTTTCTATAAATTGTATAAAAAGTGTTTGTTAGTTTGTGTGTATGTTTTAACACAACTTGTGGAATTAACTTTTTTCTAGTTATATTTTGTATTTTATACTTTAGAACAAAAATCTTATTTTAATCTTACTTTAACTAGTGTTACCTTTGATTTGGTTTGCATAATATTTAACTAAAAGTTGACTGATTTTATTTAATTTTTACTTTTAATCTTATCGTAATTTAAAATTCTTTAATTGTTTATGAATGATATTCAATATCTTATACATCTCGTTCTATTTGGTTTAATGGTGTTATTAGGTGTACAACTTTGCTCCCGCCGTTATTGTGAATAATTTGAATTGCCAAAACGGCGGCAACAAAATTGTACGCTTGATGCACTTTAACAATTTATTTAAATGTATAAATTGATGGAAAATTCAATCAAATTTACTTATAATAATACGTTTTTAATGAAGATTTTTATAATTCTTAACAAAACCAATGAAAGAATGTTAATGGCGTTATTAGGTGTACAACTTTGCTCCCGCCGTTATTGTGGATAATTCATGTTGCCAAAACGGCGGAAGCAAAGTTGTACACTTAATGGACATTATAAATATTTTGAATCTATTATAATATACAAAAATTATACGGAATCATAGAAAAATTATATGGCTTTCCAATTAAATGTTTATTTTTATTTGTGTTAAACAAATTTTTAAAGATTTTTATAAAAAAAAACTAATAAAATGTCCTTCTACATTTATAATAATAGGTATACAACTTTGCTCCCACAAGTATAGCTATATATATATATATATATATATATATATATATATATATACCCTTAATGATATTTTTGATGTAATAATGTATCCGTATCCGTATCCACCTTAAGGTCAAGAATATGTGCGCAAATGCATGGCAATAAAGTGCGCCCTTTAACTTAATCCATCGTGCGGAAAATGGAAAAAACTGCCACCAAAGACACAAAGTAATAGTTAAGGAAAATATACTGGCAATCATTCCTTATTTCGCCCCCTTGTCGCATTCAGAATCGTCCTTGTTATGATAATCCATAACATCTAGGGCTGCAGAAGTGAATCTACTGAAAAATAATAAATGGGGACGCAAAAATAATGAACAGTGGGAAACTTGTTATAAAATTGTGCATTGATAGAAATATATACTTGACTTGCGAATGACCTGGCATACGAGTGTTTCGCCAAAGGAGCTATTCGTCGCTTTTTCGTGAAATTTTACACTTTTATGAAATCTTATTCTTACTCTTATGAAATTTTACTCTTACTCTTAAATTAATCAATAAATATAAACCACTGTGCTGCAACTAATTAATGACTGCAATCAAGGTATTTATATGGCAAAGTTTGCTTCGAGATGCGAGCGTGGATACAGGCGAATTAAACTCGTAAATCGGGGTACTATTGTATTTGTTATAATTTATTCTTTCTTTCCTAGGTTTTTCGAGCACTAGAACAACCAGCTGAGACTTTAAGGCAAAAAACTTTAATGATGACCATGCAGAAGGAAAGATCTGAACTCCTAACTTTGATAAACAGTACCACGTTTAGGAGAGGTTTAAATTTTCAATTGTGGCTAGACAACAATCTAAAAAATTATGAGCTGGTATTAAAAATATTATGTGTTATTTAATTTGTTTTATGTGCTATATATTTTATATTTTAGGCCTTGGAAAAAGCTGTCTCTGAAGGTTTTCGCTTTGACAACATGTCTGATAATGAAGGTCGCGAAAAATGGAATATTTTACAAGCTGTATTTTTTTCTTCCACAGTCTTGACTACAATTGGTAAGAGAAGTAAATGATTCTAAGATTCAATTTTAAAAATCCATTTTCTATTTGACATGAATCATTGGACTTTTAATAAATCTAAGTAACTTTTGTCATTGCTTTGTGAGACTGCGTTTTCTATAAGGAAAACCTTTTTGTTAAATTAAGTTATCCGGACAAATGGAGGGTTTTGGATCCCAAAGGAAAATGTTAGAATGTTACGTTTCTCATTTTATTTTTAATATAAACTTGATGGTATAATAAACCCTGGAAATCTTATATAATTTATTCATTTTTATTTATTTACTATCATTACTATGATAGCATGGTATATATAAATACAAATGATTTAATAATTATGAATGAGAATAGTAACTAGATGTAGGTATGTATTATTTTACATAGTACAATATTTAATCCATCAAGACATGCAATAAAATATATATTCACGCCTCGTTCATAATTTAATTTTGATTTTCTATATATATATATTCCAAACATTTCTCAGTTTTATGTTTTCCAACTACTAAAAACGTGTTTATTGCCGGTTTAAATTTAGCTCGCGTATCTTGGATAACTTTTAATGCAAATGTAAACTTGTGCGTTTATTTTCGACTTGTAAACAGAATTGATTGAAGTGTAAAATGTAATCCAGATTGACCCAATATGAAATTTTAGATTATATATTATTTTTTATTTTAGGTTACGGCAACATAGTGCCCGAGACCAAATGGGGGCAACTGTTTTGTATTCCCTTTGCGATGATTGGAATCCCTTTAACTTTGACGGTGGTGAGCGATTGGGGAAAATTATTTGCCAGTGCTGTCTCCAGGTTGGCCAAACATCTACCTGCAATGCCAGGTATAACAGGAGAGTTTAATTAACTAGGTGCAAGTGGATTTTTGCTTTAAATAATCGACCTTTGCCGTGATTTTGCTATAAATGAAGAAAATAAGTAACATTATATATACATTGGGAAAATTATACATTTATTAATATATATAAAAACAAATGACGCGCCTGCACACTTCTGTTTACCGCGTCGGCCTACGGGACAGTAACTATGATAATACTCCTGCAAACAGTTTACATATCACATTGAGACAAAAAATATTTTAATATCGTTTAAGATCCTATTCAAAAACGCTTGTGACTATCCATCTCTGTTACAATAAGCCCCTAGTATCTTATATTTATTTCATTTTTTTATTTAGTTCAGGACATAATAATTAAATTAAAAAATGCTTTGCTTTAAATATAATGAAAAATGTGAAAAATACCCATATTTTAGTTATTTATATAATAATACTAAATTATTTGTAATTGAAATTGACATGGAAAGCTTTTTAAATTTTTGAAATCGGTTCTGCCGTTTTTGAAAAAAAAATTTCATTTATGCTATTTTATACTATTTTCTTTTTCGGTGTCAAAAGATTCAAAATGAATTTAAAAACACAAAATTAATAAATAGAATTTTCTGGTTAATTCAAACATTGTGAAATGCCAAGATCGGATAATAGATATCAAACGGATAATGTGGTTTCAACATTGTGGCTTACATAGGATAAATTTGTTAATCTAATTAGGATAATCTTTACTTTAATTCCCATTTGCTATATATTAATTCTACATTGCTATTATTTTTGTTCGGAAAATGAGAAATTTGTCATAAAAAACATATAAATTACTCAAAGCTTTATGAAGAAAACTGATAGAATTAATTATTTCTAGATTATGAAGCTAAATATTGAGATAGAATAATAAGATATGCTTCTAATATTGTTTCCATATATTTTCACTTATTTGTAATAAATACGGTCATTAAAGTTAGATAGCTATTGTATAAGGTAATATACAATATTAATTTTAACTAAGCCTCTTACAATCGTAAACTAAAATCATTATTTACAAACATAAATTACATTATACACAAATTACGTATTACACAAAAAATTGAGAGCTTGTAGATAGGTTTATATATAAAATTATTAGATATTTAAAAAATAAATAACTAAATTGAAATTCGGGTTGCAAATTACACACATTAATATTCAATTATTAGTATTATGTAAATTACTTATTCTAAATACCATGAATTAATAAATAATAATTGTCCTATTAGAAAGATGCAGAAAATCATTCAGAAAAGCTGCCGTCAGAAGAGCTCTTTACATTTCTGGAGCAATTTGTGCCCTTTGTTTATATTTGGCTGCAGGAGCTACAGTATTTCTTTTATGGGAAAAGGAATGGACATTCTTTGATGGATTCTATTTCTGCTTTGTAACTATGACCACAATAGGTTTTGGAGACTTAGTTCCAAGTATTGTATATATAAAACTAACAATAAGTTAATATTTATTTGGCTTATAATTATATTTAGTTTACTTATTTTTAGCTCGTCCAAATTATATGCTGCTGTGCACTTTATATATTTTAATTGGGATGGCTTTGACATCAACTTTTATAGAATTGATTAGAAGACAATATGCTGAAAGTTGGAGAAGAATAGCACAAGCGATGTCGGGCCCTTTATTGGCAGAAGGATTGAAGAAACTTATGATGGCCCAAAATAATGCAGCAGATGTAGCATCTCTTCAAAGGATTCTCACAGTAAAATAATAGATACCCAAAAATATTATTAAAAGGCTTCATTGTTTCTTTTTTTAGGTCAGTATGCCTAGAAGAACCAAATCTTTAAGATCGAAGGATATTGATTCACAAGAATGGGAGGACGCTATGAGGGCTGTTTTAAGAGACATTCAAAATTCAAATAGCAATAAAATTATTCAAATTGTTGTTTATGAATCGTCAGTTTGAAATACATAATTATATGAATTATAATTAAGTAAGTATTAATAATCTAATCAAATACAAGTTGCTATGAAGTAAGTTATTTTCTTACATTAAATACATAATGCTACATAAGTCAGAACATGAAAATGGTTTCAATATTATAATTTATTTGTTCTGAAATTTTTATGCAATTGAAACATAATTATTTTAATTGCCATAATTTATTGTCTTACTCATAAAAAGTTAAACAGATTTAAAGACATTGTAAATATTTCATTGTAGCATCGAGTTTTAATTACAGCTATTCTTAATAGACATTATATTCTGATTGAGAGTAAGAAGGCGCTCCGGTTCACAATTAGTTGTTAAAATCAATATATTTATAAATGTTTAAACTTGCACAAAGTACATTTATTTGAAATAACCGGTTTTTCATTCGTTGATTGGCAAGACTGTTGGTAGCCCGAATCTGTTTGACAGTTGCGATTCGTTAAACAAAGTTTTTCGTGATAAAATTTAAATTCAATAATAACTGTTTGCGTGTATTTATTAATGTTAATAAATATAATTTAATGATCGAATTGGAATTTGGTGAAATTATTATTGGTACCATTCTGGAATGTATGATTGTGTCCATGGAACACAGATATGCTTTAGGTTAATTAAATTAAAAACTTTTATGATCAAATTAACTTATACCCATCTTATACCTCGCTTTTCTTTGATTTAGAGAACAAGTGCTTATTGAAAAAACGTATGTACTTATTCTATAAATTCTTTAAAAGTTTGTTTTAATATCTTGCATTTAATTTGGAATTACAGCTTTATTATTTATTAATAAATAATTAACATTAATGAGAGACAAAGTGCTACAATTTTACAATCAATCAGTTGTAAATATAAATATTTAGGTTTTTATTAAATTTTTATTTATTATTTAGGTGTATTTGATCTTGTTATATCTTACGATTGTTTGCAATACTGTTTTAAGCCCAAAGATGTCTGACAGTTGCGTTTCGTCTATTCGTTAAAATTTTTGGTGATGAAAATCAAATTTGTTAATAACTGAAAGGTATTATTGTGTGTATTTATTGAAGTTGATAAATAAAATTGAAAAAGGTAATTGGAACATGCTGAAATTATCATCAATTCTGAAATGTATATCCATGAAACAGGTATGTTTTAGGTTAAAGTTAAATTAAAAACTGCAATAATTAAAATAGTTTTTTTTTTCTTACATTCGTATCGATATATTTACAATAAGTTATAAATTAATTGGTAATAATATAAAAATATACAATTTTAATAATATTGTTATATACACGGCCGCAGTAATGCATTTGGATATTCTCTATAAATCTGGAAAAAAAAATCATAATTAGATTAATGTTAAAGTATAATAAAAATAAATTTATATGGATATAGCATTTTGAATAAATACATTTTATTAGTACAATTTCAAATTTACTAAGTAGTTCATATGATTCTTATGTTTATTGTTACATTGTGTATAATTTTTATTTAAAATTTTCATATATTTAGGTTTCTATTTTCAAACATTTGGTTTCCGGTAGATATGGAAAGTTGGCTGGAAAGAAATATTGGTGAATTAATGTTTTGGCTAATACTTGAATATCAGGCCAATAAAAAAACTATTCTGGACATATCACGGCATTTTAGATAGCTTCAGGTATATTTATATAATTCTTACTTATTTATTAAATTATGCTATTTATATAACTATTTTGGGCATATTAAGGCATTTCACAACAACTTACTCATAGTTTCTTGTTGGATTTCAACCTTGTAAGTTGGATTGTCATAAGCGCTTTCAGCTATAGTAATTTTTCTATTATTATGCTCTCCATTGGCGTTTCTTACAGCCGCTGCTGCAGGTGCTGTAATACTAGCTGTTCTTCTTGTTCCCCTTCTACAAAAAAATATGTTGTATGATTCACATACTTTTAATGGCTAAGATTAATTTTGTTGGTTACCTGGTCAGTATGAGTAGCAAAATTAAAGTAGACAGTACTGCCAGGGCTGCGATTACTGCAACAACTACTAAAGAGGAATAGTAATCTCCTGTGTTGTCTCTTTTGGAAGGCATTGAACTCAATTTATCTGGAATATGCATAATTAATATTGTGCATTTGGTTATGAAAAGTCATTTATAAACTTGTACCTGTTTGACTGTCTTGTGGTATTCCAGGTTTTGTCAATAAGTCGATAACAGCACTCTTTTTGATCTTGCCATTTGTAAGATAAGCTTCTAACCATAGCCTGTACCTGGAAGAAAAAGTATATGTCTTAAGTTAAATGCATTCATCAGATTTTAACCTAAAATACCTACTTTGTTCCTGGTTTAAGATCCTTTATCATTGTTCCACCCATTGACTCTCTTTTAGCTACTTTGAACACGCTTAAAAATTTTAATACAAAATTATAAATAAAATAAGACAATAGTTTACATTTGATGAGTAATTTAGCTATATTACCTGCTATCTTCTTTGCCTGTTTCACTCTGATAAATAGCACGATATACATTAACAAATTTATCTTCAGGATATGGGACTCCCGACCAAGAGATTTCCATGGTTGTTGATTTAATTTTGGTTGCATTTATCTTTATTTCAAAACCGTACACATCTATTCAAGAAAACTAGATGTCAGTGAAATGAATTATTATATTTCTAACATTTGTTTGTATCTTTTTACCTATTTCACGTTCAGTTTTCACCCTAAGCATGTTTTCAGCTTTGAGTTCTATGTTTTGTCCAGCAAATGGTATGAAAAATATTCCTACATCATATGAAGTAGATGGTTTTAGACCTTCAATGGTGTATCTTGTTACAGATCTGAAACAAATTGTATTAATAAAGATAGAATTTAGATGGAAGGTAGTAAAAATCTGTCATTTTTTACCTGTGAATTAGTGGTGTTGCAGAAAATACTTTGGCATCTATTTCTTTAAAACGAAGTTGTACTGCATCTACAAATTGCAGTTCTTCTGGTTTCAGTCTGCGCCACGATACCTGGTAAATAAATATATAACAATAAATATTATTATGGTTTACAATTTGATATTAATATTGTGTTATTTTACTTCTAATGTTGTTGCATTATTGCCCAAAAGTATGAAATCAGGCTCTATAGGAATTGTTGATGGTGGTCCGTTTATCAAACCAGCATGTGGAGGCACCACAGGGAAAGGTAACTGAAACAGAAAAAACGTTGGTAAAAAAAAGTACTAAGTCCATTTACAAAAGTCTACATACTCTGCCGATTTCTGGTGCTGCAGGAGTCCTGACCCTGTACACATCGCTATTGACTCTTGTGATTTCTGCACCACTTCCGCTACCAGCAACTAGGCTCACATCACTTCTGAGCAACAGGGTGACTCGTACCCTATATTCAGTTTGGGGTCTCAGACCACCAAGTTCGAATTCTAGTTGAGGTGTCGCTATTAAGTCATCCGGTGGTGCAAATATCTGTGATGGCCAAGTCGACATGTCACCATTTGTGCTGGGAAAATGTAAACCAGATTAAGTATATTATAATTTTGATTTAATATTTTGCATCACTGATACCTGTCTGGTGTGTATCTAAGTTCCACTCTGCCGTGCAGGCCCACTAAAACTGCAGGGACGCTAAAAACAAGTCTCACAGTCTGTGAATCAATTGCTTCCAAGCTCACCACGTTTATTTTGGGTTCTTGAACATAAGATCCTAAAATATCAGAGAAGGTTCGATATAACATCATTCCTAAATTACAGTTATTGTGCAAGTGGTCTCTCACCTCCATTAATGAATGGTCCCTGTTGTGGTGGTCTATTAGGATACAAGTGTCCTTGTCCAGGGTTAAAGCCTGGTGGTGTCTGTCCATTTTGAACGCCTCCTGATAGATGTTGTAGGATATGTTCTAATCTTACACCTGTATAGAATAAAATTGAAATTTAAGTTGGCATCATGTTAATTCTGTATTTTAATATTTACCTGATGGAAGTTGTCCGTTTATAGGCACTCCTAACAGTGGATGATTTGGTTGGTTTGGTGGTGGTAAAGGAATAGGATTTTGTCCATTCACAAAATGTTCTTCGTTCTGGCCAAATACATGACCCTGATTGACACCTAAAGAAAAAGTAATTTTAGTTACATCACCTTGTTATTCAGTTGCTATTTTAATCTGTACCTGAGTTTATAACAGGTCCTAAATTATTAATGCCTGGATTATGCATATTATGGTTTTTCTCATTGTCAAAGTCCTGATATTGAGTTTTACTGACAGACGGGTTAAAATATCCAGGTCCAGGATTATTCAAGTCAGGTCTAAAGTCATAGACAGTGTCCTTGTCCTCTTCGTCCTCCTGTGATGTGTAGTAGTGGTCCTAGAAGATTGAAAAGCAAATATGAAACGTCTGGTCAAACTTTGATAAATAATTTGTGTTATTAACCTGATAGTTTACTGTTGTTGGTTTAATTTTGTCCTTTTGTGATGGTTTGATGGCGTTGTCTAAATTGAAAGGCCCTGGCAGATTTGCTAACGGTCCTGGGAACTAAATGGAAATATTTAAACTTACAATTTATGTTCAAAACAAATATGCATCTTTATTGATGACATTACCTGATGAGCTTTATTCGGTTTTGTGGGTGGATCTTTACTCAATTCACTACTGCCTGGTGCATAAGGACCTGGAAACTGACTGCCTGGTTTGTTCGACATTTTGTTAGCATCTGTATTTTGTTGACTCTTGCTTGTTTTCCCTGTTTTATTTGGCACCATCACACCTTTTTGAATAAAAAATAATTTAAATCACATTACGTTTGATAGCATATTATGGTCTATTTATCAAGTTTACCTATTACATCATTGCTCTTTTCGCATTTCCATTGCTTGCAGCAGTCATCACCTTCCTCCTCACCATCCAGGTTAATCAGTCGTGCTGTACTGCCTACTTTGCACGTAGGTGTTGGTCCTACGTCTGGGCAATATCCTGGACGGCAATCGACTTTACCACCTTCACAATAACAACGCTCATCACAACCGGTTATAGATGTAGGAATTGCAGACCAATTCTCAAAACTAAAACACCATTTAAATCAAATATTTTATATGTTTAGGCTAATTCTATTCAAAATTTATGGGATAAATTTATTAATTACCTGCGTCCTTTATAGGTGCATGTGCCATTGTCTGCACATCGCATTTTTTCTGGGCAGCAATGAGGCGCTTTTGGCTCAAAACCTGGAGGGTCCGGTTCCCATCTGAGACAATGGGGATCGACTACATCGAGTCCAAAGGCATTTGGACAAGATAAGGCCAAGCAGGATGCTTCAAATTTATTGGTTGATTTTTCTGATGGAAGGCAGACACATAATTCTGCACAGCCTTTGTGAAATTCCTCTTTTGGCGCATAGACCTTGCCTAAGAAGAGAGATAATTGATATAGTGTAAGGTAAACATTTTTATATTTTATATTGTGACTATTTTGCTATAATAACCTTCGTATTCACATCCCTCCAATTCTTTCTTCTCAGCAGATGACATAGTCAGCACATTTTTAATTTTATCAGTACTATTTTTACCTTTCTGCATACCCATACCAGTCATAAAACCATCTAAACTATTTGTTGAATTTTTTATACTAGTGTCATTCAATGACAAAACAGTATCATTCATTTTGTACATGGAATTATTGCCAAGCATCTTGTTTTCGTGAGGTGCGAATGGTTCTGATAGAGGTGGCAAGCTGTTTGATTCTTCATGTGCAGTGACATCATCGATTGCTCTATGAGCATCATCTAAAGTGACATCGCATAATAAAACTTTACAGCAGGAGTCTCTTGGGTCTTGTACTGAGACACAGTGGTTTTCTTTGTTGTCGGAGGATTCAGATTTGGGACATCTGAAAAAACATAATTTGTCATGAAGATTTATTGATTGATGATTGTGTTGATAATTTACCTTGGTTCACATGACACTGTTCCCGTCTCTCCACAAAGACAAAGCGATTCACAGCCGACTTGAAACCTATCACCAGCTTTGTAAATCATACCTTCGTGATTGCATGTTACATCAGTTGAATTATTGCCTGAAAAAATTATAGGAAAATTTAGTAACCATCTTTAAACAATCTTTAGGGTTGTAGTGTGTTGTTACCTGTGGTATCGGCTGCACAAACCAGGACAGCGCAGCACTCGTCTGTTGGGTGTGCCATTTCGCGGCAGCCCCTTTCATTTTTGGTGGTGACATCGTTTAGGGTGCCATCAGGAGTTCTTGTGACATAAGGAGCTTCACACCTGGGCTCACATCTCCAAAGACCTTCTTCGGAACATTTGCACATGCCTTCACAGTGTTTATCTAACGAATGTCCTGGCTACAAATAATAATTAATCAATGGATTTTCAGTAAAGTTATGGTTTTAAATCTGGATCAAAACAAAGATCAGTTGTAAAGTGTATTACCTTATATGTTGTTCCATTGAAGATACAATGCACTTGCATATTTGGCGAATCATTTGTGGTCAGTATTGGTTTTCGAGCCAGTGATTGTTCTGATTTACTTTTCGAAACGTCGCCTGCTGATATCACATCGTCGTCATCGTCATCATCCATGCTTACATCATCAAGACCTAGCAACAAAAATAATTTGATCGTAATTGAACAATATACAGCATTGTTTAACATCAGCTGGCAAGTGGTGATAGTTAATATTACCTTTGCTGTCGATTTTCGTTTTATCCTTATCGGCGATGATGTTTTTTGTCGACATCATGTCATTCATGTCGTCTATTTTTGTTTTCTGCTTTTCGCCAACGTCAAACTGATTTGAAAAATCTATGGCCCTTCCTTTTGAAGACACACTTAATGGGCTGCGAAACAAATAATAAGATAAATAAAACATTCTTTATATTCTTGGGTATATTTGAATTTACCTGGTTTTGCTTTTAGGTGGACTGATAGCAATTTCATCCGTGATTGAAGTAGTTGTTGTCCTTTCTGAGCTGTCTGAAGAATCGGTTGAATGCTGAAGTGGAAGAACAACCTGCACACTTCTATCGGTAGATTTTGTTTCTGAAAGAGAAAAATTGTCGATATTTAATATGCCAAAGCATTTTAGTACATCACAACACCTCTGTTCATAAGTTGTTCATATTTACCTGTTTCGTCTATCTTTTCACCAGTTGGTTTCGTGGTCGAAATTTGCCGTATTTTATCCAAATCCTCCCGATTCGTATATTCGTCGTGAACGCTTTCCTTGAAAACGATTGGTTTGTCCTCCATCGTTGACTTCAAAGTGACAAAATTCTGGATCGTTGTTTGAGCCGACTGAATCAGGTCCATTGTTGTTGATTCTGCTGGAGGAACTGTTGTTGCACCTGGGGAAAGGAATAATAGAAACCATAAAATATATTTAGGGATAAAAATTAAATAGAATTAAAAGAACTCATGTGACTTAAGTTAAACTTTTTTTGCTTTGATGTTGATATATGTGAGTTGAGTTCTAATGATTGGATTATATAAAGTTTGATGAATTTTTAACTTGCCTAAGGAAAAGGTAAAGATTGATTGAAAGTTGTATCAAAAAGTATTTTAATTAGGTTTTAGGACATACACCATGCATGTTCGAGAAACTGGTTGGTGCATCATAATTAATATAAATCCGCTTGAAAGATAACAATTGGAAATTGCGTTGATTAGTTTTTAGTGAAAACAAGAACTTTATTTCTGTAATAAACCCATTACCGCCTATACCCACACTATAGGTGATACGATTAAGGTGACTAAAAGCCTACATATTAATTATTATTTATTAAGTTGATTATTTATACAAATCTTATCATTTGTATCATTTTATAGTTTAGTTAAAGTTTACACATTAGTCTAGTCTTTACCCATTACAGAAATCTGTACTAATAATTTGATGTTATTCTGATATTATATAATACTATAATTTTAAATTTTCTCTAGGTTTATGTGAAAAATAATGTATCATCAAGTATCTGAAAAAAAAATAATTTGCTTTCAAAATGAATGAAAATTGGAGAAATATATAGAGGAAAGTTTATGGATTCTCTTTATTGGTAAGCTTATTTTATTCATTATTCATTTGTAGTTTTAATTTATATTAAATAGAATAAAAATTATATTAAATAGAATTAAACTTTAAATTAAATAGAAATACTCTGAATTTGAGGTTTACACATGTGTGTACATTGTCTAGTAAATCGGGCATGACATCAATAAAAAACATGAATTTCTTTAAAAATTCATTCTAAGATCCATACTAAAAATAAAATTTGAAAAGCCAAAATGTATAACAATTGAGTAACAATAAGAAAAATTACAAAATGTAAAAAGTATTCGTAATTTGCTTGTACTAGTATTAAAAACAGAAAAAACAATAATTCATGGTATTGGTTTATCGTAATGCACTAAATATATTATAATATAAACATTAAACTTGTTGTATTTATAACAACATTTTACAACTTTACTAGCTAGTTCGGATAGTGCAATAAATCTATGTTATTTTCTAATGTGTACGTTTTGTTAGGATTAGGATTTTTGTCCAATTAAGTTTTAAATCTTTTGGGACTGTAACTGAAAGGTATGGATTTTAGATTTAATTTTTCAAGAAATTTATGTTTTATTTTATGTTATGCACGATTTTTAGACTCTGTTAATATATATTTATATTTTAATTGAAATGACATAAATACAAAGCATTTCAATGTTATTTTTTACATTTCGTTCGTCGCGCCCGATTACCCTTTTGTAACGCATTCCCCAATTCATTTACAAATCATAAACAGAGACGTCATTTACCATATTCCTCATGATCTTAACGTTACAATTAATTCATAAAATCTGCTTTAATAACGATATTTTCCCATTATTGGTGAATTAAAACAAAAATAAAAGTTTCTTTGCGTACACATAAGTATGAATCCGTTGTTTATTTTCCTCCACGAAGATCCGTGATGGCGCAACGTGGTGAACACAATGGACTCTTTTCTACACCACAATATATATGTATATTTTGTGACGCAAATTTTGAATATTTAATTTGTATGATTCAACTGAGCAGATTTACATTTTGGACACGTACGGTGTCGCAGACAGAAATAAATTTGAGCAACAGATAAAGGAAAAATAAATTAAATTACTAAACGATCATGAATAACCAGGATATCTGTTTGAAATAATTATTCACAGTATATTCAGATAATTTGTTGTTTTTTGAGATATTTACAAGGTAAATATTTCATTTTCATATGTTTTAGACATTTTCACATAATTTGCAACATTATTATAAATTATATACGATAATATACATATACATACATAATTTGCAACATTATAAACTATTTACGATATTTATAGATTATGAACAACATTAAATTATTGGCTACTTTTTCAAACAACATTTACAACATCTTTAGATACTTCGTTGAATTTTCAGATATTTACAACGTTTTCAGACCGGTGCCAGTATTTCAACAAATTCCATTTAAAATGATTAATAGCATGATACGGATTAAATTTGTTTATAGAACAACGAGATGTTCTATAAATTTGCTTCAAACCACAATGACACTTTTACCTGTTTTTTTTTTCATCTCTGAATTGGACTCAGAGCTTGGGCAATTTATCAAATAAGTTTTAAAAACGATTAAAAGTTTGTCAAATGATAATTTGTTGAAATTCAAAAATTGAAAAACTATTCGAAAGATATAATTTATGAATCGTGCTGGTTTTGTGTCGTTTAGGGATGGATTAGGTAGTCTTTTCGAAATTGATTGTATAAAAACTTTGAATGGCGCTAGAGTTCCAGTCTTAATACTAAATTATTAGAGGCCTACGACAAATGAAATGATTCTGACATATTTTTATCGATTTTTTATATAAAAATAATGAAAGCTTAAGTTTTTCATACATTGAAATATATTAGTCAGAACTTATACGGCGAATGAAAATAATCAATAATAATAATTATTGTTTTATTCGGCGCGTTGGATTTTTTATTATGACTAATGAATATACTTATATACAAGATATAAATAAATTTTGGTTTTTAATAAATATTTCCATACTTATATACATAATTAATTATATATTTTAGCCTTATGCGACGAGCTTGTCGCTCTTGCAAAGCGCGTGTACTAGCTTAAGTTTTTCCACACCGCAAGCACCTCTCCGATCGTCCGCGGACAAAGGCCGACAGTCGACAGTCGAGAGTATCTATCTAGTAGCTAGTAGCTAGGCTATTCCACGAGAATTCCGATTTGATTCGAACGAGGAATAGACACAGCGCTAGCGCAACCTTTTCCATAATGCACTTAACTGCTTGTCAGTAGCATTTTGCCTTAAGGGGGTAGAAAATTCTAGTGTAGAAATTCAAAAAAATCAATTTTTTTTTAACTTTCCGAAGGAGAAGTTTATATTTTCATCAAAAATTCCGATTTGCTAATTTTATGTTTTCTCGACGTTTCAAGCCATTCTGAATCGAATGAGATCAAATTTGGAAAAAGTATGTGTGTGTGTGTGTGTATGTGAACAGATTTTTTGCCGTAATTCGACGTTTTCTCGAAAACGTCTGGGCCTATTTCAAAAATTTAAAAGCCATTCGATGTATCTCGATGAGGACTATCGTTTGTCAGTTTTGTGGGACGATCGGCCGAGACGTTTCTTCGTAAATAGCAAAAAAGTGAAAAAATTTTCGTGCACGTTTTAGCCCGCAATTCTGAACCGATTATGAAAATTCAAAAACCATTCGAAAGATATTGGTTGGGAATCGTGCTGATTAGTTTTTGGTAAAGATCGGCCGGGCCGTTTTAAAAACTAAAATATTACGGCCCTACGACAACTCGTTTAGCTTTAAAAATTCGTCAAAGTTTGCAATTGGTATCTTTTTTTTGGCATTTGTCAAAATTAGACCTTTGATCGACGTTTTCTCAAAAACGCCTGAACCGATTTCAGAAATTTAAAAGCCATTTGATGTATCTCGATTAGGACTATAGTTTGTTAGTTTTGTGCGACAATCTGCCAAGCCGTTTCTTTGTCATTTGGGAAAAAGTGTTAAACTGTTCGTCCACATTTAAGCTCATTCTACCGAACCGATTTTAAAAAATCAAAAACTTTTCGAAAGATATTAGTTGGGAATGATACTGATTAGTTTTAGGTGAAAATCTACCGAGCCGTTTTCTTGTAATTAACTGTTGAAAAAAATTTAAGCCGAATTTTATGGAACTTTTTTGGCGATGTACATCATGGTCTTATAAAACTTACTGAAATATTACGGCCTTACGACAAGTAGTTTAATTTTAAAAATTCATCAAGGTTTGAGAAAATGAGTAGTTTTTTTGACGTTTGTTAAAATTAAAATTAGACGATTTACTTGATATAATGATAGAGTACTTGGTCTTAATGAAGCATTAAAGTCTTACGGAAACTGGTTCAATCATAAAAATTGTTGATTTTCGAAAATTTGCTCTTAGAAAATATTTCGAGTTAACGTGTTCGTTCGTTTTCAATTATGTGTAATAAATCCACTTGGAATACTTTTCCAAATCACTCATAAATTAATTTATATTTTATTGATTAAGTCGAATATTTACACATATCGGGAAGTTCATGTAACTGGCCTCAAGGCTAAATACCAAACCAACTAGTTATTTCATATTTTCAAAGTTTAACTATCTAACAATAAGAATATGAGTACGAGAAGGTTTTTGACTCTTTGTCTTTTGACTTTAAATGCGTTTTTCTCAGAACAGACTTTTTCAGTACTGTTGACACGATTTCTCGAGTTTTAATCGACCGATTCACTTGAAATGTTCAGAGAGTCTTGTTCTAGGATTATCCCCAAATTCTAATTTTTACTATTTTTAAAAAATTTGAGAAACTCAAACAGTAAAAAAACACTTTTTTTCAAACAGTCGCCAATTTGTAATAAAAAATTTTTTTACTCATAGCTAGTTCGGGTGATTGCGACATCATTGTAGATTAATAACCTTTTTATTTTCTGCATTTTCGATGGCTAAGAAAGCTGAAATTATGTCAAGACTGAGGCCAATTTTTTGAAACGACCCACTTCATCAGCTGTCAGTTTTTACAATTTTCAACTTTTTTATTTTTTAATTTTTGTTTTATATTTTAATAATATTAATAAACAAGTGGTAAAAAATGGATAGTAAAAACATTCATTACTTTCTTTTACGACACTTCAAAAATGACCTAAAATTCATCGCTCTACACTAGAATACCCCCTTAAGGCAAGTTGTATTAACTTCCCCATACTTGTAAATAATTAACAATTATAATAGTTAAATTTTTTTAATATTTAATTACGAAGAAACGGTCCGTCGATCGTCGTGTAGAACTCCTTGGTCTTAATGAAGCATTAAAGTCCTACGGAAACTGGTTCAATCATAAAAATTGGTTGATTTTCGAAAATTTGCTCTTAGAAAATATTTCGAGTTAACAGTGTTCGTTCGTTTTCAATTAGTGTAATAAATCCACTTGGAAACTTTTCCAAATCACTCATAATAATTAATTTTATTGATTAAGTCGAATATTTACACATATCGGGAAGTTCATGTAACTTGCCTCAAGGCTAAATACCAAACCAACTAGTTATTTCATATTTTCAAAGTTTATCTAACAATAAGAATATGAGTACGAGAAGGTTTTTGACTCGGTCTCCATACTTGTTTGGCTTCAGGCAAAACTTTAAATGCGTTTTTCTCAGAACAGACTTTTTCAGTACTGTTGACACGATTTCTCGACTTCTGATCGACCGATTCACTTGAAATGTTCAGAGAGTCTTGTTCTAGGATTATCCCCAAATTCTAATTTTTACTATTTTTAAAAAATTTGAGAAACTCAAAAAACAG